AGTCTCCGCAAGTGGGGCCTCGACCCTAACAAGTGGGGCTCCTCACTAGCAGTCAAGCAAACACTAAGAGAGGGAGGGGTAATTCAGTAGAAGAACACTTGCCTATGAGCAAGGCCATGGGTTGGTCCCCAGCACTCCAAAAACAAAAAATACAGTAATAGATTGTACATTTTTTTCTGTCAGGTGTGGGGCTTGAACTCAGGGCCAGGGCTCTGTCCCTGAGCTCTTTTGCTCAAGGCTAGCACTCTACCACTTTGAGCTACAGTGTTACTTCCAGTTTTCTGGTGGTTAATTGGAGATAAGAGTCTCACAGACTTTCCTTCCTGGGCTGGCTTTGAACTGCACCTCAGATCTCAACCTCCTGAGTAGCTAGGATTACAGGTGTGAGCTACCAGCACCTGAGTAGCTAAGATTACAGGCATGAGCTACCAGCACCCAGTGAGATTGTAATTTTTTGTCTCAGAAATTTGATAGATTTAAAAAACTATTAAGAGTGCAGGGAAAGCGAAGCTGCCCAATCCTACAGGGCATGTGAACAAGCTCCGCATCACTGAGTGGACACTGGCTGTCCTTCAGTAGTACCATGCATGCTCCTTGGGATGGTACTTCATTCACTCAGCGCTCACTTGCTGAACCCAGCCCGGAGCTGAGAGCTGACACAGGAGACAATCAACCCCTCTCCGCTTCTGGTGGGCTCACAGGCCAGTGGAGACGGCCAACCGGAGCCTAAGCAGTGACTGAAGGGCTAGGAAGCAGGTGGTGAGGAATGCCACCCATCCTACACCTCAAACACCAGGAAAGGCTGAGTCCTGTGTAAGACCAGTAAACACAAACTTCCAAGAGCAGTCCTTGCTTCAGCCCAACCTAGATGACATGCGACTTCACATTCTAGAGAGAAGCAGGCAGTAACCCTTACAGAGAGACAAGTTAAAACCTCAGTGGCAGGTAGATGTCCATTTTGACAGGGGATCAAAAAAAGTGTTTAAGGAAATGGCATGGAACCAGGCTTAGAGTGCATGTAAAGATTTATGGGAATAATTCCTATGACATCCAGAGCCTGCAGCAAGAGTGTTACAGTCAGAGAGAAGGAGAGAGGCAAGGAAGCAACCTCATGTGCCCGTGCTGTCTGCCTGCAGGCCCTGTGCTGGGAATGGGCTTCCTGCACTCCCTTACCTCCCCATCATGGAGGGGGTGCAGATAAAGCTGATGAGCCCAGATGAGCTAGACGCTGCAGACAGGAGAGGCCCAGTCCCAGGGTGTCCCCAGGACGCCTTGACAATGACCCTTTTCTCTTTCAGAATCCCATCAGGCACCTTGGAAAGTCCTTGGACTTCGGAAGCCAATCCCGACAGGCATTTCCACTCTGCAGGCTCAGACCAAGATGCTGTGGTAGACAGAGAGGGCGACCCTGCCTCGGCCAGCAGCCTCTTCCAGCTCATAGCTTCCTCTGATGAAGACGTTATTGACTTGAAGTAGAGTCCACACTTCATCTGCATCCTTAGTTTTCTTATGGAAGTTTATACTCTTTAAGCAGTTTTAACATCATCTCTCAACAAAACGTGGCTCTCAGCCTGTCAGTGATCTATTGGACCAAACCTTGTGTACCCTTGGCCAGTTTGGGTCACTCTCCAGTGTCCGGTGCCATCTTTCCTGACCTTTGTTTTTTTTCCGTTAAGGAACCATCAGTTTCCTTGTAATAAAGGTGGTAGATTTCATTGAAGTTTTAGATCGAAACTTTGAATAAATCAAAAATCTTCATTCTTATTTACTGCAACCCTCTCATATTTTATATACTTAGGTGGGAAATTATTTTTTTCATTACAAATTTGATTTGTGTCACACAATGTCTTCTTTTATAAAGAAAAGCCATTGCGTTTAAACGTTATTATCAGTAAGTTTTCTTTCTGCACTTTGGCCCCTGTTACTGTTTGACTTCACTGTGATGGAAAGCTCACTCTGCTTCTACCTGTGGACTCGAGGGGGATGAATGAATGCCTAGGTTGCAGAGGGTCCCCTTCCTCCTCTGTCTCTTGAAAAATAATAAGGCAAGGGAACTTGTCAGTCTGAAGAGTATGTTGTCTGGTTTTGTTACTTTGAGATCATATAACCAAACAATTACCCTAATATTCCATGTCCCCACTTTCCCTAGCTCCATCCTCAGGGAAGAAATGGAGCGGGGGAGGGGAATGGGGGACTGTAAATGCAATAATGAAATATGAGCCTCTGGCTGGATCAAAGTAGAAAAATCTAGCTTCTAGTGAAACTGGCTCAAGTGGTAGAATGCCAGCCTTGAGTGGAAAAAGCCAAGCATGAACATGAGTCTCTGAGTTCAAACCCCAATAGAAAGAAAAGGAAGGGAAGGAGAAAGGAAGTATAGAAAATCTAGCTTCACTGACATTATTTGTAAAAAGTGAGCATCATTTACCCTTATTAGTTGATTCCATTTTATTATACCTCTTCTTGCCTATACTTCTCTCTGGAAAGCAATTCAGTAATGTGCCCCCTGAGAAGCTCTGAAGAATTCTTCTGCAAGCCTGTAAGTGAATAGACTACTCGGTAGGACCTTGACCTCATGGGTTTGCAGATATCCAGGTCCTGGTGGTCCTTGCACACTTTGGGGAGGATGTCCCTCTCTACCTTTTTCATACAGTTCAGCATGACACAGCCAGGCTAAAGGTGCTTGGTTCCTCTGTAGCATAAGTAAAAGAAGCAATGACCTGTGCCTTAGATGTTCCCAGGTGAACTGTTTATGACCCAACATGGCTTCTCATGTTTGCAAAGTAAGCATTCACATCTTGGTGCTTGCTAGATCCTTTTCACGTATGAGGACCCCAAAGTCAACAAGACACTATCTCACCAACAGTTTTGCAAATTAAGTTAATTATTCTGCTTTTCAAATAAGGGAACTGAGGCTTAGAAAGAGGCCATGATTTGAACTTTTGAGTTCTCTGACCCCAGAAAACTCGCCACCTCCACTGCATGCCTCACAGAGCCTGGAGTCTGTTGGAACTGTTTGGCATTTTTCATGTTTAACTAGTAAGCTTCATGAGCTTGTCTCCTTGTCTTTCCTGTCACCAAAAACAAAACAAAACAAAAAACAATTCTTGCTGAAGTAGAAAAACAAGAGTTTCCTGCCAAATGAACAACTTCTTGATAAGACAAGAGGCCAGGATCTGAGTAGTAAGTGGAGAAGGGACAAGAGCTGGATGCTGCTCATCAAGTTGATGTGGGGTGGGGTGGGAGGCCATTCTGGCAACAATATATGCACACTCATGGGCAGGAATAGCTTTATAGGAGTCGGCAGCTCAGAAGGCTGACGATTGCCACTTGCCACTGGCTGAGTTACAAAGGATGCAGTCTAATTTCTGTTTCTCAGAGCCTTCCTTCACCCACCGCAGGCACCAGTCCTACTGTTGAAAGGAGAGAGCAGATGACTGCAAAGAACTGATAAGTGCTGTGATAAGAATTTGTAACTTAAGCATGAGATACTGTAGAAGTACAAAGGGGCAGTTGGCTAAGTCCTTAAAGATAAACTCGTGGTCAAGATGGGGAAATGTTAACTGCTAATACACTCAGGTGATTTCGATGAGTCAAACCATGTAAGCAGACCAGCTAGGATTTGATTGCTGGGTGGTATGGGTCGTCAATAGACACGACCCAGCTCAGAGCTGTCCAGGAAGATAATTAGCGTCCTCACTTAGAGGACTTACAGGCATCTTACAACCTGGTTCTTTCCAGAATGACACCAACACTTGCCTGCACCCAGAGGGCTGGGTATGAATTGGGTGTAGACGGCAAGCTCCTACAGAGCCTGATCGCCCTCGCCAACGGCGGGGTGGGGGGCTGGGATTGCGGTGCACCCATGGGCAGTAGTCACTAGAATCCACTAGAATTGGGAGGTAGATGAAAACTCAAGGGTCAGGCTTACCTGTGCAGTCACGCGGAGGAGGAGGGACGGCGCCCAACCCGGGCCCTCAGTACCTGGAGTTTCTACTCGCTCCTGCCTTCGCGATCCACTGCGA